GAATGCCTTCAGGGCACTTTTGGCCAGCGGGAGAGTTGTGAGGTTCGAACTCCAGGAACCTGAGGCTGACAGCTTTGTGGAAGCAGCCACTGAAAGGACATCTTGCAGATGCTAAGAACCACCTCTGAAGGCTGAACTCCCTTTAGGTTGCATCATTTTATTTTTAAATTACTTAACATGGGCTGAGCACTGTGTTTACCACTTTATAAGCATCCGCTCCTTCAAGCTCCCCCACATACGCTATTGCACGCTGACCTTCTCTTCAGTGCCACAGCTCTACATTCAGATGCTGGCTCTGACAAACAACAACAACAAAAAAACCTTTTGACTTTGATAGATGTACTGGAAGACAGGTCAAAAAAGAAAAAGTCTTTTCCAACTTAAAGTAAATGGAAAGGAAATAAGTTTCTCAATATGCACTCTGAGAATGGTATTACATCTTCTAGAAATAATCAAATATAGTGAAATAACAAATTGGCCTGGTCTCAGTTTTCAATAAGGCTCGATAAAAAATGCCAGTGGAAATGTAGTATTTTAGCTCTGAAGGAATATACAATCTAAACATGGGGACAAGTCAAATATGAATTTAAAAGGCAAAGTTAGAGGTTAAAAAACCCAACTCGTCCATGCATCACTGAACAGTATTTGTGCTGCCCATTGTCCGTACCTTGGACAGTGCTGGGCTGTCAGAGCCTATATAGATGGACAGGATTTTCACAAGAAAGGAACTCACTTTGACAGTGAGTTAAAGGAAGTGCAAAGTAACTCCGTTCATCAGCACTCAAGGGCTTACCTATGGCCAGCAGCAAGTCTTCAAAATGCCCCGATAATTCTCCTTTAATGCTGTCCTCAATGTCCTTCTGGCTAATATTTCTGTATTCATCAAATGCTAAAAAGTATCACCACAAAAACATTTAAAGCATCCCAGTTGACCATACTTGAATATATTTTAATTTAGTTTTTTTTTTTTTTAATCTGATATGCAGCAGCTTAAAAAAAAACAACCTTTTTAAATCATTAAAATTTGAGCACAATAAAGCCCAGCTTCACAGGCCATTTTCTTCAATGACCTCCCTCTTTTTCCAGGCTGCAGCATTTAAAAAAAAAAAAAAAGCTAAAGGGCTAAGTGATAAATAATTTATTGAGTAAGATGAACTACTTCAAACATGACACCAGCCCTTGGGAAACAACACTGTGGTCATTAGTTACATGTTTTATCTGCCAAAGAAATCTTAATGATGAAATTTTCTTTGTGCTCAGAGAATCATTCCCTAAGGCAGGGTGGCCCACTTCACACCTACCAAAAGGCATCTGAATTTCTTCATCAGGATCTGTCCCAAGCAAAGCCTGTACTTATGTCACCAAGTATATAGTCATCTTTTATAAGCTAAGTAAATATTCGTTTTTTCTTTTATGTATTTGGTACAGGGTTTATAGGGCCTCACTACATAGCTTGCACTCATAGTGATTCTCCTGTTTTTAGCCTCCCAAGCGCTAGGATTACAGGCACATGCCACCACGCCCAGTCACAATCAGCGTAGTCTCAATCACTGTCTCAGTGTGCCCTAGGGGCGGGGCTGGAGCTAGCACAGCACGCTGGGAATCTAAACCCCGGCCACTGTGCTCTGCCTAGCCAAGTAAATATTTAAAAAAGAAATTTAGGAGAGAGATCGGTGGTCTGATTTCTGTTTTTCAGACTAAGATATTGTATTAGTAAAAAGAAACTGCATTATTATTATTTTATGAAATCAATTAAGGCCAACCAAAGTTAAAGAAGGCCATTTTCAGAATCATAGCAAGATCCTTATGTTTCCACTTTTTCAGCTTAGCCTAAGGCCAGGCATGCACAGTGGCACCCAGAAGCCATAATCAGATGATGTCTACAGCAAGAGTCAGGAAGACCATGGAGGGAGAGGGTGGGTGCCCAGCCGTCCCATTCTTGCAGGTCTGATCTCCCCCCATTCCCTCATTTGCCTTTACATCAGAAAGAGCTGAGCACAGGTCACCATTAATACATCAATAAAAAGCTACATGCAATGCCTGGCTTTTCTGGAGTGGTTCACTGGGGACAGAGGGGTGGAAGCAGGACACCCAGGCTCCCCCACACCAGAAGAACAGGTCTGCCTGGTCTCCCTCCACGGCCTCCTGTTCTCTCCTTTTGCCCCCAGCCATTACCTGGTACTTAGTCCTTAGAGGAGAAGCAGAGGAGGGCCCGAACTGCCTGGAGTTAGAACCTGCTTCTTCCTTTTGTTTTCTCAAATGTTTATACAAAAGATGTGACAGACTTTATCATTTTTAACTTCACTACTGTGTATCAGACCCACCCAAATTGGCAAAAACAACATAAAGCAAAGAGGACTGGTTGTGAGCCCGTACTTAGTTTCAGCTGTGGAAAGCTCCGTAAGCACAGGATCTCGGTGAATTTATCTTCATCCGTGCCCCATTTGTTCTCGCCGGCATTATAGAGAATCTATTGACAAAGAAGGGGAACTCAGATGTTAGAAGGGGAACTCAGGTGTTAGTGCAGACATGTTCTTTCTCTTGTTTGAGGGGGTAAAAAGTGAAGAGTGGGAAGCTCCAATTTATTTTCAAAGTCAGTGAGATCATCTATTATCTAGGCCTCTCACGTGTAGCAGATATCTGAAGGCTGGGACGGGAGGAGCTTGGGAGTGACCGCCACTGCAGAGGAAAGTGGAGTCGCGGGCTTCTGGTAAAACACAGAAGACAGCCCTGGGACCTCCCATTTGCTCACAGGACTGCAAAGGCTGTCAAGAGGGAGAAAGTGGACGTCTTACTTGCCATTACTGACCTGAGCATCTTTTTTGGCCAGATGTTCATCCACTTTCGGACTTTCATCTCTTCTGCCCTACACAGGGATGACAAAAACAAGGCTAGTCCTTTAACAACAGAAGAATCCAATGTTCAGTGTTACAATCAGCAAGACACCTTGGTGTTTCTGCAGTGGAAGCCACGATGTGGAGGGAGACCAGCACCCTGGTGTCCATCCTGCACCATCACTAGCTGGTCATGAAGATGCTGGCAAATCACACCATATTTAAGGCCTCTATTTTCTCTGAAAACTCAAAGGTATTACAAGGATGAAAAAAGAAGCCAAAAAAGAGAAGATACTTATAAAACATATCCGATAAAGGACTTATAACCAAAATACATGAGAAATTCTTAAAATTCAATATCAACATAAAAAACCCAATTTAAAAAAATGAACAAAACTTCTGCTGAGATACCTCACCAAAGAAAGATGTGCAGCCAGTAAGAAAGCACAGGAAGTTTTTCTGCCGAGTTCCGGGAGCCCCCAGACCCAGTCCTAGCCCAGGTCCAGTGAGTGTGCGG